CAGGGGGGACAGGATGGGATGGAGCCGGCTTCTCACTCGTCCATGGCAGAGCTGGACATGGCCCAACTCACCATCATGGGCCTCGCCACCATCATGACGCTGCTGTCGGTCGTGATCTTCGTGGAAGAGGCTTTCTACCTCACCCGCAAGATCCGCTGCCCCATCAAGATGAAGACCCTCCTCTGGAGCAGCCTGGCCCCTACGGTGAGCTGGGATGTGGGGCAATGAGGGGCCAGGGGGCCAGGGCCACCAAAGGAGTGCCAGCCTGTAGAAGAGAGGAGTGGCAGTGTGCCAAGCTTGCGTCTCCCCCAGGTTGTGTCTGTAGTCAGCTGCTTCGGGCTGTGGATCCCACGCTCCATGATGGTGGTGGAGATGGCTACTACGGTGTAAGTATTGCTTACCCCAGGGCAGGGGCCCCGGGGAGCCCACAGGGCCTGACCTGCGTTCCTCCTCCTCCCCAGGTACTTTGCCATCTGCTTCTATCTCCTGATGCTGGTGATGGTGGAGGGCTTTGGGGGGAAGGAAGCAGTGCTCAGCACCCTGAAGGACGTACCCATGGTGGTCAGCACTGGGCCCTGCTGCTGCTGCTGCCCCTGCCTGCCCCGAATCACCATGAGCAGGTGAGGGAGAGCTGAGGTAACCCCCTGTCCCGGGGGAGAGCTTTCAGCCCCTGCTTCTGCTGAGGTGGAAGAGAAATCCTTGGGCAGGGGCTTGGGGACCTCAGGGTGCTACTGGTCTCTCTCGCTGTGCCAGGAGAAAGCTTCAAGTGCTGATGCTGGGGACTTTCCAGTATGCCTTCTGCAGGGTGGTTGCCGTCTTCCTGGGGCTGGTCCTCACTGCCGACGGGAACTACAACCCCGCTGATGTGAGTGCCAGGGCATGGGGACGGGCAGGGTAACATCCCGGTTGGGGAGCCACCACCAGCCCCCGCCTTGCTCAGCAGCGTCGTCAGCCGAGGCATGTTTTCTGTGTGTCCCTCCCAAGATCTCGGCGGAGAGCGTGGCCCTCTGGATCAACACCGTGGCCGGTGCCTCCACCCTCTTCGGGCTGTGGGCGCTGGGCATCCTCTTCCGGCAGGCCCGGCTGCACCTGACGGAGCAGAACATCAAGGCCAAGTTCTCCTGCTTCCAGGTGAGCCCCCGTCCTGTCAGGCTCTCCTCTAGGTGAGGGGCTCCTCTGGCACGAACGGAATGAGGGGTGCGGGGGGAGATGGCAAGGCAGGAGTCGAGAGCCAGGTGTGGCAGTGGGAGAGCGGGGAAGGTAAAGGGCAGGAGCCTGGCGGCAGCATGGTACCCACCACCTCAGGTGTTGGTGCTCGCAGGTCCTCCTCCTCCTGACGGCACTGCAGCCCGCCATCTTCAGCATCCTGGCCAACAACGGCAACATCGCCTGCTCGCCACCCTTCTCCTCCAAGGCCAGGTCGCAGCGTAAGTTGGGAGACGGGGGAGGGTGTCACCTGCTCCTGGCTGAACCCTTCCATCACACGGTGGGGCGTGGGGAGCCCGTGTGGTGCATGAAGGCAGCTTCAAATGACCCTCCTCTCCTCTTTCAGAGATGAACATGCAGCTGTTGATCCCACAAACCTTCATCTTGGTGGTGCTGACGCGGATGTACTACCGCAAGCAGGACGACAAGCCGGGCTACCAGCCTGTCAGCTTCGCACCCGCAGGCAGCAACGCCAAGGCGTGAGCGGAGGGAGCAAAGGGGGTGCCGAGGGGCAGAGGGAGGTGAGGGGCTGGTCTGCCCTGTACAGCCACCTTCTCCTCCTCCGGCCCCGGGGAGCTGCTGGCAGCAGAGGGGGCAGAGGGGGAAAGGGCACCTCAGTGTGGGGTGAAAGGGTCTGAAACCTGCAGGCCACAAGGCAAAGGGATCCGTGAAGCCGCCTCCAGCCCAGGGAGGGTCTTGCCTGGCACTGAATAAAGATAAATTTGTATCGGACTCTTGTGTTGGTGACTGGGCTCGGATCATCTCCTGCCCAGGCTGGGTGGGAGATGACCACACGGGGAGAAAAATGA